AAAAAACAACAACAAAAAAGGCATCTCAGCCAGGCAACAAAGTGCGCTGTGATGGAAGGAAGGAAGGAACGCCTTAAACGCGGCCATTCATCAAATGCCCCTGCTGACCAAAACGCAGGGAAATTTCTTCCTCTCTCTCCCTCTCTCTCCCACTAGATAAGTCACTACATACAAAACGTCGGTTTATTAAAGAAGGCATCGCGAGAAATATTCACAGTGAGGAAAAGCGTTCCGATGAGGAAGGAGCAGAGGTAAAATAAAAACGAGAAGAGCTGGGACCTTTATGATGGGTTGGTTGCTGCGAGCAGCATCAGCCAAGAGGGAACTCGACCAACGTCTTTTCCAACAGGTTCCCCAGGCGTCAATTAGCATTCCGAGTTTCTTGCCCCGGGGTTCGCAGAGTTACCAAGCTGGACATGGACAGGATTGATGAAAGAACAAGTGCAACAATCTCGTCTTGAGATTCATCTGTTGCAGTAAGTTACATTTTCTGGTATGAGTGAAAATTAAAAATCCGTCCCCCACAGCAAAACATTCCTCTTAAAAAAAAAGGGTAGAAATAATTCACACGCGGGGTTTCTCCGCGAATTTTTTTTTTTTTGCACACAGGTAAGTTTTATTTCAGTAATCTAATTCGATTTTCGGAGCTCCACTTTTATTTCTGAGCTATAGCAATGTTTTTCTTCAACTGTGAAAACAAAATAAAAACAATTTCGTCGGAGACACGAGAGAAAAACTAAAATTATTACAGGAAAATCCCGTTACAACGAAATCCCGAGGAGATGATTGAAACTTCGTTATGACAAATTACTTGTATCGAGATACTACACATGGTTTTTATTGAACTTTAGCCAGGAAATTTTGTAGGAAATGAGCATTGAATACTGTGAAGTGCTTCTATAAACAGGTAATTCCAGACCTGTCAGACTTTCGAACTGTTCCAAGTACATTACATTATATCTCGAAAGAAATGAAGAGAGGAGTTGGGAATAAAAAGCACTCTTCTTTCATTAAACATGCCTTACTCAAGTGTCGTTCGTCGTGGAACATAGAATGAAAAAATTACAGTATAATATTCAGGAGAAAAACTGAACTTCCTTCTGAAGCTTGTTCATTCCCGCCTGTTCGTTCTTTCATTTAGAAAATTATTTTCAACAAAATTTTGAGTTTGAAGAAACGCATACATTCTGAAATGGAGCTAAAAATTCCCAGGAAATATGTCAGGTTAAGCAAAATTTCATAACAACACATAATTTCTACAGAAAGCATTTACTTATATTGTACAGTACTCGTAAGTCTCAAATTCTCCCGCGTGAGAAAGAAAAGTACCGATTTGGAATTTTAATTATCCAAAACGTTCTTCCACCTCACCTGAAAGTTTAAAATCTTATTACAGTATAATCGTCACACGAGTCCATCTTTGTCTCGTGGAATCCTTCACAAACCGCAGAATCGAAATTTTATAATTCTACAAAATTGATGCGATTTGCTCCAGAAACTGTGAGAATCGGCGAATTTTACTTTCTGAAATCTGAAAGTACTGGGGATTTGGGGGACTCTCGATCAGAGATTAGCTCACATTACAGACTAAAAAATAGGGATGAAACCACGACTTGATAAACAAAGGTCCTTTCTCATTGCTTGTACTGCACCACTTTTCCGAAATTTTCTGATGAATTGGGTTCATTCTTCATCCATCACCACCTTCCACATTACTGGGACTTCGAAACTGCCTACGACTGTAGTGAGATCAGCAATTAAAAGCATTAAAAATAAAAACAAAAAATCCTTCCAAGACGGATAACCGCAGCCGGGTAACTGAAACTTCCGGGACTTCACTGAACCCATTAACATTATTATTATTCTGATCTTCCGTCAAAGAATAACAAGCAAGCGGAACAAGCGGATTTGTAATCCAATCCCTTCAGAAACCGGTTTTCTCAACTACAGTACCATACTGTACATTGTACCCATCTCAGGGAAACAATGAAAGATTTATGTAATCCTCCTAGGGGACACAAAAAAATATGCCAACTTTAATAATTGATACTCTGTACTGTACTGCACTTTCTGTCATGTCAACGTAAACCCCAACAAAAGAACAGAAGACAATAAAGCAGTGGAATAACAATGACATAAGGGTGTGCGTGAGAAATGCACCTCATTAAAATCAAGGCAATTCCTTGATTGGAAATTGTACATAAATTATGTCCATTCAATATTGCGAGTTCCCATGGATCTATGGTTTGTATCAGGCAGAGTGAAAAGTCAGCAAAATGTTGTACATATATCAAAAGCAAAGGCAGGAAGGCCACATTTGAAGTGTACTGGTATTATAAACCCTCAAATGGCCAACTTTGCGCAGTGAGACCCCAAAACTGCCGTAAGAACATTGGCTGACCATTTTTTGGGTTGGCCAATCATTGGCCTACCATCATATAGGTTGCCAATTATTGGCCCACCAGTATTTGGGTGGCCAACCATTTGCCTACCCTAATTTTTTTGGGTGGTTAGCTGACCAAAACTTTTCTGATGCATGGCAGTTTCAAAAAGCATATTCTGCAATGCTAAATCATATATTTATATTGCTCAACCATTACAGGAGCTGCTGACAGCTGTTCATTTGTCCATATTAATTTTGCACCATCCTCTTGAATTTTGTAAGTATAGGCAACTTTTCGTTTGGACACTTGTGCACATTTGCATGTCATTCTGCAGAGCAACTGGATTTAGGCATGCCATTTTCATCCACTGAGATTTTGTTTTACTGCTCATCCAAGGTATCAAAAATACCACAGCTTGCAAATATCACCTGGGAAAAGTCACTCCAGTGATATCTGATATGTTGTTCCTGGAATGAGGAGGGTTTATTGAAACTCTGAAATGACAGGAAGGTGGGTATCTTCCACATTTGAAAGACAAATAAAACCTAATTGTTGTATTTTTCTTCCAAGCATCAATTGAACTTTCTGGGAGTGACAGGGTTATATCACTGCTCTTATGCAAGCAGTATGGTGTACAGTGAGACCCCCACATGCATGTAGATATTCTCAAAAGAGAAGGGATTTCATTCCTTCTTTTTGACCAACTTAATTTTCACTGGAAACGCTAAAATCTCAATGCTCTATACTGTACACAGGTACAGCATTTTTACCTGGGTATTTTTCCCTGTATGTTCCTCAAGAAACTGTTGAAAAACACTTTTCTCAACTTTTTGCTTGACAAAGTGCTAATTTTTCATCAGTTCATCTCAAGAGGGCCAGTAAAAAAGTGGAGAATGTCACCTGAGAAGACAAAAACATCTGAAACAATAACAAATATGCCAACTGTGGAACTAATAAAAGAAATCATGAAGATGCCACAGATGGAGAAGAAAGGAGAAGAGGACAGTTGCTAAATTTATGGATCTTGACATTCAGAAGTAGCAAAGAAATTGTGCATTGTGCGAATGTTATATGTCCCCAATGGTCTGAATATTATTCATGACTTGAACAAAACTGACTGAATCATTTTCTATCAGCATAATTTTTTTTCTCATTTTATAAAGGATTATTCTTTCATAAAATGCAAATTGAAAATTTTATAATGTCAGTCTCTGGAAAACAAGACTTAGGGACACACTTTATGTACCAATTATGTCTCCATTTTGGGGTCTCACAGTATGTTGTGATCTGTAAGTGGTACAATCTAGAATGTACCACTTGGAATTATTTGGAAGGGCTGTACTCATATACTGACAACAACTACAGCGTATTGTATCCTATAATTACATGTAGAAAACTTTGTTATCTTCCAAGTGTATAATGACTTTGTGCACAAATTGGACCACAACAATGAATAGAGCATACAAAGGGGTAAAAAAGCATCATCTTTTAAATTGCTGAATCACTGAGGATTCTTGGGTGTGTTAGTGAAGATAAGATCTTTGGTTGAATTTTGCTTTTCCTGCCTTCTATTCATCGGAAGAGAATTTTCGAAGAAGTCACGGTAAGAAGACAAAATTGAAAAGCTTCCCTGAGTTTTCTTCGGAGCATTCTCTCTACATAGTCTACTACAACACTCTTGCCATCAAGGATGGGTCTCTGTCAATCCACTTTCAATTATAATGTGCGTAAGTATTGCATCACTTTGTCCGTGCAGAGGCACTGTACTGTAATGTTTTTTGATACGTCGGCAACTCTCATATGCAACCCAACTTATGCACAGCCAGTTCATCAGGAGCACACCCGCCAGCACCCACTCAGAACGTCCAATCTCCTCATCACGCACCAGTCCATCACGCCGCAGAGGGATTTACGAAATCGCGCAAAACGCCTCGTCTAAATTGGACCGGCCTCTCCTTGGGCATTATCCGATTTCCGCCGCTGGGAGAAAGCTTTTTTTTTTCATTATTTCTTTTCCGAGCCGAGGGCCCGACACAAAAAGTTGAAAACTTCTCACCATCTGAGAAATAATGAATGGAGTAAGAGTTTTTAAAACAAAAGAACTTGGAATATGCGGTTTCATCTTGGCGTTAAAAATAAGATAAATTTCCGAAGAATAAATGAATGACAACAAATTCGTTTCTTCTTGAATGCAAAATTACCTTGTTGTCCGAAAAACTGTAAACATCTTCTGCAGCAAAGCTTGAAGAGTGCATGCCTCCGATGGCAAATCATCATTCATTATTCAAAATCAATAATTAAAAAATCGCATCAGCAGACTTCTCCTGATTTCAAGAGAATCATTTAAAAATTCCCCTCTGTATTTCGATCGGACTTCAGCCAAGTACCGAAAATTCAGTGATAGTAAACAACGATCCTTTCTCCCAAAAAGCATCGTTTCCAATCTCGCAACTTCCTTCTTCGTCACATACTGAAATGTTCGATAAGTTCCTTTCCGTAAGCATCAGTAAAACTAACACACGCGGAAAAAGGCTTTAAAAAAAATAAAAGACAACACGGAACCCCAAGTGGCGGGTGTTGAAGAAAATAAAAATTGAATAAATAAACGAGACTCACCCAGTGGCGATTTGTTTCCCTGCCTTGCTCCAAGACAACGTGGCCGCAGGAGACGCCTTCACCACGCAAGTGATCATTTCGTTCTCCTCGCCCAAAGTGGCGTACTGCTCCTCGGGGGCGTCCACCCAGGTGATGGGCACTATAATAATCAGCACACATTACACAAACGTTTAAAAAAATATATTTTTTCATTTTGATCAACGATCGATCAATGGAATTCCGATCACTTCAGCATTGGAGCAAATAATGGAACGACAGAAAAATAAAACAGAATTTCTTTCAGCAATTTATCCGCTGTGATCCAATCTTTGTGGGACCAAAGCCAATTTTTGGGATCTCACAAGAAAAACAATTTGTCTCTCTTAAATTCAAATTATCTGTCCTATGAAGCCATATTCTACTCCGATCACTGCAGCAAGGCAGACCAAGCCTGAATTTTGCCTTGAGTGATTCTTGAGCAAGTGAATTCTCATATGTTCGTGAAATGCGTGAATGATCAGAGAAATTTATTAATCTCCATTATAAATAGGTATTGTAAATATTTCCCAGCACTTCACTCTATTAAATAATTCAGAGTTCCACAAAAATTACGGAAACAATCCCATCGAATAAATCTTCAGTTTCACTACTGCCTTGGTTCTGCAGAAATGCTACATTATTCTCCCAACCTCAAAAAAGCATGACTTTCTAACTCTGGCACATGCTTTAAAAAGCGTTCTACAAAAAGGCCATTTGTGGCACTGACAACTTTTCGTTGTAACGAACGAATTCGTCATACTGAGGTTCGACCGAAATTTCGAATTGTTACCAGACGATAAAAATCGTATGAATGTTCCCCGCCACCTAAAATCAATTCAGAATACGAGGAAACAGATTCATTGTTGAGACACAAAAATACCCATTGTTTTCAAGCCGAAACTCGAAATTCCGGAGGAATATAGATATATTATTTTTCCAACGAAAAGAAACAAGAACTCACAGTAGCTCTTCAGACGAACACTCTTCGACAGCTGATTATTCGACGCATACGACGCTTGACAGTGGTACAAACCAGTGTCATTTTCTCGCACTTCCCTGAACACCAGCTGAATCCTTGACTGCTCATGCCGAATAAATTTCCTGTGCCGAATAAAAAATACTCGAAAATCAAATCAGGAATTCGACCATTTTTGTACACACTCTTTTTTTTTTTTCAACAGAATATCCTACGCACGAAGAGAATGGTTTGCAAAAGCGCTCATCAAATGAACCCGATTCAAATTCGACGCCTTCGCAAGACTTTGAATCACTATTATTACCCAAACACAGACACGCAAATTAAAAAAAAAAAAACGAGATCAAATGAGAAGATCAACAGAGAAGCAGGCAAAAATATCAAAAAGAAAAGAGCATGTGATGAAGTCGAGGGACAAACTTCAGAATACTGAATACATTCATCATCACATACGGGGACCCGTTCGTTTTTTTTTTTTTTTTCGTTCCAGCTTCGTAACTCTTTCTAGTCTAGAGCATAAGATGAAATAATAAGAATAGATGAATGGCTCACCTTTCAGGTTCCTCCCTGATGGTCTGATTATCCGGGCCCAGCCATTTAAGGTCCGACACCAGAGCCGGGTCCACGGTTATTCGACAGGTGAGAATGTAGGGTTGCCCGATGGGCCGTTCAATCTCGTCTCCCTTGGGTTCAATCACCAGTGCGTTGTTGATGTTGCTGCTGCCTTCATTCCGCTTCCATCGACCAGCGGAATCACAACTCACTACAGAAATTTCAAGAAATAATCTTGAGAAATTGTAGAAGAGTGTGACGAATCACGTAAGATATTCGAAGGGAAGGAAGAAGATCGGAAGAGATTTCATATTGCTCAAAAGGCCAATATCTTACACTTACAGTTGAACCCTGAGAACCCAAACCTTCCTGAGTAAAATACACCCCTTTGTTGAAATCCGGACAAAGCGAGACAAGACAATTTTAGACAGAATTCAAGACAGGGCCAATGCGAGACATGGACATTTCGAGACAGGGACAATTTGATACAGTCCGAAAGCAACTCTGAACACACAATCTCCCTCCCCCCCCCCCCCTTTTACACTTCCTTTCCTGGTTTTCCTCAAAATGTACCTCTCTTGTATTCACACAGTCTCAAATTGGCCCTGTCTCGATTTGCCCTAGATCGCTTTGCCCCTCCAACCTCTATGACATGGGTTTTCTGAAGGATTTTTCGAAATTTTTTGGCCCAGGCAAGATAAAAATGATAAAAGCTTAACTTGATGCGTTTTGACAAACAAACCCTTGCCGAACCACCAACTTATTCGTACAGCAGTTCTGAGCCAAAAAAAAAGATCATTAGATATTTCAACTTCCCGATCTTCTGTTTTTATGGCAAAAATGGTAGTTTCCTCAACCCTCTGAGTCAAACGTTTGCAGAGGTTCAACTGTGATGTTGCGTGTCTCAAGGTCAGATAGGCTTCGAGGATTTCCTTCAAGCAAATGATCAAACTACAATTTCATTACAAATTGGATTCTTCATAGCCATCATGTTATTCAAGGGAGAAAGAAAAAAAAGGTGAAGTAATTTCAAAACGAGATTCTAGGAGCAACCTCATTTTAACACTAGAAAGGGGTTGACGAAGTATAAAATTCAATTTAAATAATTAGATAGTTAGAATAATGCCGAAAAGATCTAGAATAAAAAAATCACAGCTGAACTAGACAGCATTGACCGAACACTATTACTGTACAGTCAAACCTCAAGTCAAACTTGGAGGGACCTGCAAAAACAATGTATTCAGGGAGGTTTGAGTTAGGGAAACAATCATGTTTATTGGGGAAAGAAAAATTACAGGAAATTGGGATTGGTGATATTCAGGGCATGAAGTTGACCTCTGAATGAATTTTCAGGATGCTGAACTTGGAGGGAAAGGCTCATTTGCCCAATTAGCCTTTCATTTCTAGCCAAAACACGTCAATAACATTTTCATGGCTTCTCTCTTTCCTTTGTAAATTGAAAAGAATAGTCAAAAGACTCCCGGAAAATTTGAGCTATGCAGATTTGAGAGAAAAAGCCTTTCAGTTATGGATCGTTTCATTCATTGTTTCTGGCCGAATTCAGACAGGGAATTTGAAAAAAAAATCGAGATATGTATTCGACTCGAGAATGCTGGACTTAAAAAGGTTCAGCTGTAAATTTTTGTATGAATACTAGCTCTTTTACAGTAATCACTTCCCAAAGATGGTATCTTCTGACGAAATTCGTTTTAATCCACAATACTCGGAAGTTATTTTGGTCTCCAGAGTTTAATGTACTCCCGGGTTTCAAATCTGTACGATATCAATTTGTGTCAAATGCAACATTCCAGCGTTCGAAAATAATGAGTCCAGTTTTCATTATTTTTCCAAGCAAGGCAGGACAACGAGCTCACTAAACTTTCCCACAACTAAACCCACAATAAGCTGGGGTCAATTACTCCTCCAGACACACATTCCTTTCATAGCAGTTGCTCAACAAAATCACAAACCGTGAAGAAACTCGGGGGATGAAAAATAATCAGAACATCGAGTCGTTTCTACCTCCAGAAAAATTAACGCAGCTGGAGAATTCAACTCAGTGAAAGTGATAAGGAGTCGGATCTCGAGAATCTCAGCGAAGTTTTTGAGGATGACATTTAGAATACAAAACAAAAGAAAATGCTTTCGTAAGACTTGAAAAGTACTTCTCGAAAAGTCATTCAAAGGAACAAAACAAAAAGCCACAAGTCCGTCCACAACAAATCATAATTTTTGGTCAGAATATAATGCCTTTCCAAAATTAAAACTCTGCATCTCTCACAAACGCTAGGGAAAATATACGGATTTTTTTTAGCGAGGAGTAACAGGGAGAAAGACGACAAAGACCAAGTGTTTCTTAAAATCAAATTTCAATTTATGGCATGGTGAAATTTCCCTTTAATTTTACATGGCATTGGGTTTACGAAACCTTCGGTTCATCAAGAGTGTCATACAAATGAAAGATGTGACTTTCTGCAACTCCTGATTGGATGAATATTCATAACTCGAAGAATATTCATGTTTTGCGAAAATTTTGTTGCGATTCATCTATCGTGCTTGCAAAACCAATCAAAAGATCGAGAAGCAGCAAAAAATTTAAATTGCAGTGAAACTTCTCCCTATACCGTGTTCAATATCCGGATTAACTCCAGTTGTCCTTCTCGTTTTCCAGTAATTTTTGTGAAAGAACACGTTTATCCAACAGATAGCTTCGTTGTGAAGTGCCTTCCACACATAATCCAAACTAAGCACCAGTGAGTCACCAACAAAACGAAATGATTACAAGGAAAAAAGCGACTCGCGGAACGATGTTTCACATATAACGAATTCGTTGGGCCAGAAAACGGTCTAACTTCAACACGTTTTGGGCGAAAGCTCTATAAATTACTAGAAATGATGAAAATGACGACAGATCATAGCTTTGTCACTCCTTGTCGATAAATTCTGTAGAATTCAAAAAACGTTCAGACCAGAAACTTGTCAGGAGATTTGAAATTTATCACTACTGCATTTCAAATTTCAGAATAATACGTCGGAAACTTAGGGAAAATGCGCAGTTTTCAAAGTTGATGATAATCTTCTGGGGAATGTCTGGAAAAAATTCAATTGTTCATAATGCACCCATAGGGGAAATCGGGGACCCACTTCAGTACACTTCACAAGGTCATACTTCAGTATATTTTCCAGGCAAGAATATTTCGTGATCTCAACGCTTAATCTAAGATGAGCGGGTGATTAGGAATACTGATTAATAGAAATTAAAACCTTGATCAGCCTGGCTTTGGCTGGGACAAAGCCGGAGTTTAATGTTGTTGATATTTCAATGAAGACATAAAAAAATATTCAAGGGAATTTGTCACAAGAGTAAAAGCAACCCATCAATAAATCAATTCATACCACATTTGTGGGATGCTTGAAAGGTCTGTATAACTCCGAAGTCAGGAATCAAATATGATGAAAAACAATGGTCATCACTGACCGGGTTAAGTTTTCGGATGAAAATTAGATATATTTTTTCTTTGCGGACTTTCAAAAATTTCAAGAAGGCAGCCCTTCGAAGATGGATGATTCAGAAACAGGAATAACTGTGGGAACTTGAGGTCAAACTTAGTCTCAAGGGGATTCCTGGGAAATTAGCGCAAGTTTTGCTAATACCAAAAACTTACTGAACACCCCTATTCTTCATTCTCGACAAGTGCATCGAATAAAACCTTTTGATCCCAAGTAAAAAATCTCTGATTTCCTCATTCTTGGATAAGAGTTATGACAGAATACAATGTTGATGATATTAATGAAGAAACGGAACTCACCAGCAGAAATGAGGAGGACTCCAAACGTCAGTGTCGACAACAGTCGCTCCATTTTCAACCTCCCTCGTACAAAAACCCCTTTTTTCGATTCCTGTTGTTCAAGAGAAGTTTCCTCTCACAGCAATTCCCGGCTTCGACCGAAACGCATTAAAACAGAAGGGAGAACACAATTGCAGAAAAAAAAACACGGACACACACACGCAGGAACAGTTCAGGCTTCCCCTCGACACCGTCGCAAAACGTGACGAGGATCTCGACACAGTGCCTTAAAACTTCCGGCCGGGCGCGACACGTACGCGATGTCAGTCACTCTTACTGATGCAACTTGGAAAATTATTTTTAAAAAAAGAGAAGGATCCCTAGAATTTCGTTAGAAAGCGAACAAAAGACAGACACACTTGAGCACGTCACTCACTCACTCAGTCACAACAGCTGAACACCAAACACGCCACCCCCGGAAAAAAAAAACGGAAGACAGAAAAAGAGCCATGAACATTCACAGAACTCGGACCCTGTTTCTGCGGGTGTTCATTTGTCGTGAATGTTTTTGATGAAGTCTCAAAAAACGCTTAAGCCACTAAAACATCGACTAATATTGTTAGAACATAATCCAAATTAATCATGACGGTGTACGTTTGTCACCAACATGTGCACACCACAAACCATATTCAAAAGTCTTCCTCAGAGCGATGCTCACCAAAAACTTCATAATTTTAATTCATCTAGATTCAGACACATCACATGAGTAATAAAACCCAGAAGGGTTGAAAATGTAACACCACACTAATAGATTAAGCGTCAAAACGCCGAATGTCATTCGTTTGTGAAAATGAAATGTGAAAATGAACCAATCGAACACCCGTAAGTAAATTCATTCAAAATTTAAATCCGAGATTACAAAACTTTATTCAACAAAATTATTTCAACGTCATATGGCCGCGTTGCTTTTTTTTTTTTTTATTCTGTGCATTAAAAAATGCAGCCAGTGCTTTTATTCGCGTAAATATCGTTTAGATTCCCATTGGTTTTATCCCAACCCATTGTTTGAGGAATAAAACCAGAAAGACTGAATACAGTACGTAACACTAAGCTATTAGACTCAGCATCACCGGCAACATGTTTTTCGGCATGCGCCAATGTACTCATCGAACACCCGTCAGTAAAATCATTTGAAATGGAAATCTGAGCATTGAAATTTCCCTCAAACTCGATAGAAGAAAACAAATTAATTTCAACGTCAAACATGGCCTGCACTTTGAATCTGACTTCCAAGAATAAATGAGCAACACTCCTATTTCAGCCTCCTTCGCTTTTCACTTGAACAGCCTGCTTTTTTCTCCACCCTTCTTTATAAGCGTCAGATCTCATTACCCGACTCTGGAGCGTTGACAGAAAAATCCGGATAATTTACGACCGTCATTCCGCTCTTTTTCTTCCCGGGAACACGAGTCATAAAAAATCAAAAATAAAAGGCTTCAAGCAGAATTTCTCCTTCTTCTGCTGAAACGTGACTCAAGAGCCAGCAACGAGAAAATGGTTTATCTCAGTGCGAGAGCTGTTCCAAACTTTTTTTTTTCTTCCTCTTTAAAAATAAAAGTTTTGAACCCCATGTTTCAACGAAATCCGGCAACTTCATACAGGGTGGACCAGAACAAAGAAATACCGGTATACTTTTCAAGAAGTTGCAAGGTATCCCCTGCACCATTTTCACAGTACAGTAATGTGTCATGCTATCAATTATCCTCTCACTGACTCAAAATTTCATGGCTGTAGGTGTACAGTAAGTCCAACCATAGAGAAAAACCCTTATTAGGAGATTAAATCACACAAGAATTTCTTGGCTAAATAAATTCGCAAATTTCAATGGTTTTGAACTGAACTCAAAAATTCTCCCAAAATCAAGAAAAATAGAACAGAAAAGCAAAGAGTTACATGTCTTCGTCTTCACTTGAGAAATTTAGAAACTTATGCGCATGAGTTGCCAGAATTAATTCAAGTCCACGCAAAAAAAATGTACATATTTACAATTTGTTGCATCAAAATACAATTTTGTTTTGTTTATGATAGTCTTTCCATGAGTGACTGGAACCAATTGAGTCAAACACGAAGTGGACTCAAGGTAAAAAAAAACACTTCGAATAACGAGAATTGGGCAAAACAAAAATCACCCAGAACCTGATCAGCTTCGTTATGCGAGGACCCACTTTATTGATAAGATTGCAAAAACCCCAACGATGTAAACTTTGCGAACTTTCTCCCGTTCATTCGGATATTCTACGATTTACGAGAGTCGAATTTCTGCTCAGAAATGATCACTGATGTTCAGCGATGTATTTTGCACACTCACAAAAACCTTGACAATTGAGTTGCTTATTTCTTAAAATTTCCGGATGTAAAAAATGAGGATTCCATCAAATCGTTCACTTTCTTACGCATTTTCAACCCAATTAAAGCACCTGGACGCGTTTCTCAAAAAGCATCGGAGACAAACAACACGATTTTTCCACGCGAAATTTGTCCCTCGGCAGATTATGATTTCAAATTTATAGATAGATACATGAGACATTGGTTCAATCATCCAATTTTCCTCCGAGAAAAATGACGGTGAACTGATAACAGAAAACGCAGGAGTCGTGCAAAGTGCGTATCGAAGAAACAATGCTTGGAGTAAACTTGAACTTGACATTCTACTCGATTGAAGAAATCATCGCCCACGTCTAAAATAAAGGTGAGGTCACTCTTCAAGAGCAAATGAACACATATTACAACACCCTTTCGGTAGGATAAAACCGAGCTATGCGGAGTTTCTGACGTCGACGCTGCGGCGGTTGAACATATATCTAGGGGGGGTCTAACGAAAGTTCTGTAGATATAAATTAAAACGACACACGATTGAACTGATGAGAGTTTCTGTTGGAAAAATATTCTTATGCACAAGATGAAAATTCAGCCCTCGAGGACATACTTGAACAACATCTAGGCAAAAATCACCCGCGTAAGTTTATGCTTTCCCCTCAAAAGATTAAGCGCCAATGTTGAAGATTTTTATTGTAGCCCAGCTTCTTCTTCAGAATTTTGAAATTGATGTGGCATCAATTCCAAGCGTTGCCTACGGGACTTCCAGGATATTTCCGCCATTTTCGTCAACAGCCGCCACATCATCATTTTAAGAGACGGCCGCTGATGGAAGTGGCGGGAATACTAACAAATTGTGGGCGGCGACTCCTGGAATTGATTTCACGTCAATTCCGAGAATTCTGAAGGAAAAGCTGGATTGCACCAAGAGATCTGGGTACTTCCCTCTAAACCGACAAACCTTTCGCCGATGCCAAGTTCAGTACCGCATTTACGCGATAATCGGCCGCAAGCTGATCCTCTGGGCTGTAATTTCAGGGCCGGGATAAAACGGCATGAGCCGCAAGAAGTTATGGATTTTATTTTATTTTTTCAAATATGACTTGGACATGACTAAAAAACAGGAATTCCATCGGGTCAGTGACCTTTTGACGACACGGTTTTCATAAGCTGGGACATATCTAGTTTTCGAAAAACTTCACAACAGAAGAATTCGTAATACAGTATCTCACTTCGTCACTGACAACATCCACCCCAGTGCCATTGTCATGTGCAGTAAAGCACTTACGCAAGAACGTAACAGAAAACCGCAACCTGATTTCGGGGACTATCATTTCAGGGGGAAACTGCTCAATCCAATTTTTTTCTTCCGAAGGAAAACTGCGGCTTAAAAAGTCAGAAATACACAAAAGCAGAAATTATACTCTGGTTCACTAGAAATTCTGACAAGCAAGATAGATGTACAGCTAAGTAATGTCTCTCGAATAACACTGATTGATCGAAGAATTCGTAATCGGCCACTGTTTCACTGACAAATAAATTCTGTTCCACCTTTAAATTCCCATGAGACAACATCGCCAGTTCGCCGCAGTTCCGCACCTGATTTCGGGAAGGTATGCGGCCGAAAGTTTCGTCAACACGGTAAAAATCCAAGCGAGGTCAGTTCGTTTCATGTTCAATCACGAATACTGTTCACGATATTCTGAACGCGATGCAACGGTCAAGAAACAGGCATTCGGGTAATAAATTCACGAATAATTCGGCACGGGACAAGCGAATGGGTTATTTACTCAGCGAAAAATTAACTCAAATCCTACCCGTGCCATCTTGCGCATGTGCTTCTCTCCCATCCTCCGGCGCCCGGAGAGAAAGCCAGACTGAAATCATACCTCGAGAAGGGGCAGGAGTTGAGTTGCGGGCGCTTTTCCGTATCCTCGATGAGCGGTTAACACCAACTGGGATATACAGTACTGCACAGTATTTCACTAGCACCAGAAATAACTTAATCTCAAGCAAATCCGGTGATTACAAAGTAGCCGAAGGTATCCATATAGGAGAAAGATTTACTATGATCTCACATGCTAGGTAAGGTCAGGATAGTTGATTATTCTCCGCAATTTTGTAAGTAAATCTTATGGATACCAAATCCCAATACCAAAGCAAACGTTCCAGCATCCAAACATTGTGCTTTTACTTATTCCTCTGATATAAAAAATCAATAATCCTGCTTCCAAACATTGGTTCCCGAAATATCTCTGGGTAAAACATTGAAGTTGCTCCTGAAAAAATAAATACCAGCCTACAAACTTCCCAGCAAGCAACCATTTGCTCTTTTATATGATTTTTGCTCACAACAGACGTCGTAAGTTCACTAAAATTTATAAAATATCTTCTTTTTAAAATATAAATTACTCTAGAATCCATAAGCAGCTCTTCATTTTTTGGAAAAATTGTTCCGACTACATAATTTTACAAATTCAGCACCCCCCTCTTTGTTCTTCATATATGTAAAAATAAACCGTAAGACAATGGAACTTAGTACAGTATAACTCGACACATGCAATTCTTGCTGCATCAGTGATATCTACTTGAACATAGATAATTGGTTGATGACTGATGAATAATATGCTGTATTCAAATACTGTACCTCGTGAATATTATTCAGAAGTTATATCCTGTTCATTTTTATGGAGCTTCTCGATGGAATCAGGATTTTGAAACTAAGCACAAATTTCTCTTCTAGGTGCCTTTAGCTGAATTGGTTATCGGTGGCCATTACTGCATTGAATAATTTCCGATGCATTTTACGATACAGTACACTTTAATTTTTTTTTTCTCTCATCATCATATGCAGTACCTGGCTTCTTTAAGCTTTGAATGGACCCACTCAGTAACTATTGGATTGAGGTCGCATGACGGATAACTGGCGTATCTTACTTTTTACCGGCTCCATGGTAAGCCCTTTAATTTCTTTTTAATGCATTGAAAATAATCAGATGCGTTGCT